GTCTGTAAGTGGAGCCATCTGGAAGTCGAGGGTCCACTGTATCTTGTGGGGGGGGGGGAAACACCCTTTGGCCAAGAAAACAAGGTGAAGGAAGGAGTGAGGGCCCTACCACAACACCTACTGTAGGTAGCTCAGTCAGGAGGCAACATATAAAGAAAACGAGGTGAAGGAAGGAGTGAGAGCCCTACCACAACACCTAGGTAGCTCAGTCAGGAGGCAACATATAAAGACAGTAACATAGGAAGGTGCCTTAGGTCAGATCCACTAAGCCTAATATTAATCCATTAATTCTAGCAGATGTTCAAGATTCCAGGCAGGCATTTTCCCTCTAATTTATGTACATTATCCTTGTAATTAGCAACATCAGAGATTGAACCCAGGATGATATGCATGCAAAACATGAAGTCTGAAAAGGACCCAGAGTCCTTCCCACAAAATGTGAGGTTCCTCTTGCCCCACTGGCTTGTATGGGAACCTCTTATGCCCAAATAAACATTCATTCTCCTACATTAGCAAGTTTGAATCTTAAGGCATATGTGGCTCACAGTCCCTCACAATGCCCCTACATAAATCCCTACAAGCCTGTGATTGTGTTTCTGTGTAAGAAGAGCACGCTTTTCTCAAGGTAGACCACAGATGTACATGGAAAAAGTGTGCTGCTGCTTTAAAAGCTTGCTGTTCAAGCATGGAAGACAAGGCTCCGTAAATAAGAACTCAAAAGAAGGACCTGCTAGACAGATCCTTGGAGAAAAGCACTACAAAAGTATTTGTAGAATTAAAAAATTATTATGCACTTTCCAAATACAAAAATTATACCTTGTAATGACCCTCTTTAACTGCATCATGCAGTGGTGTTACATGTTCATGGCTCTTACAGTTAACATCAGCTCCTGCTTTTAAAAGTTCATGTGTTGTCTCAAAACAACCAGCTACACTGGCTTCATGTAGTGGTGTCCAACCTGAATGAATAAATGAATGATCGAATGAATGATCTCCAAATATTTTCTTCAGAACACTCCTTTAATACCAGCATTAGAAAACTTCTGCTTGTCCAGCACCCAACCCATTTCCCATCCTGAAATTTAATGACAAATTGTTCTACTAAATGTTGGTGACAAATCAGACATCTACACCCAAACCCCTAAAATAAGCAGGGAATGGGCAAGAATGAGCTACCCCTAAAAGAGAAGGGACAGGAGAGGCTGAAAAATTAACACAGACCACTACATTCCCTGTTTTCTTTCACACCATTGCAAACAACTAATGCATCCTGTTTCTCCACAGAGGAGAAAAGGATCTCCCCCTGCCACACTGTTCTGTGTCACCATGATGGAAGCCTACCCCATCCCATGATCAGGATCATATGAATCCTGATGAGGATTCTCCCAGCTGTTTCTCCACATTTGACTGACTGGCTGCTTCAGGCAACCTCTCATTCCTTTGCAAGCTCCATGATAGAATATTAAGCAAAAGATAAATGTGTAAGTGGCATGCAGCTTGTGCCATAATTAGGGTTGTCAGATTTTCTGATGTTGCCGAACCAAAACCTGAGATCAGAAGATCAGGCCCTTGTGAAATCATGGAGTAGGCAAGGATGTGGAGAGAGGCAGAATTTCTGGGCCAGTTTGTTGTGGAAATGAGTATGAGGAGGATGCAGGTAAGTAGGCTCAGAAGCCAGGTAAAACCCAGAACATTAGAAAATATGGCAACCCAGAGCCATGGAAAAAAATGTTTTGAGGCCAGTTGGAAAACATGTACAGCAGCTCCAGTAGTTATCATAACTCTTAGCTCATATCCTTTGCTGCCTTACCTAAAGCCCCCAAACAAAGGGAACATTCCCATGTTCTACACTGCTGCCAGGACTTGGGGAAAGCTTCCAGGACTGATGTCCAGTAAGAAGGCTCATGAGTTAAATTGCTTGTGCTCCACCACCTGCCTTGTTCCAAATGGCACAGTGAGCCCAAATACACACAGCCACTTTGCCTCTTCCTACTCTGCTCATCTGGTTCCTGGCTTTTTGTTGTACCCATGGTGTGCAAGTACAGTACATATGAAATTACTTTCACGCTTAACTCATAGGTCTTGTGCCAACTGGGAATGAGTGGAAATCAGTATGACTGATTCAGGGTCAGTGGTCTTCTCCCTTTTGTTCACTTCAGTTTCATTGCAATAAGACAGCAGGCATGCAAATGTATGGATGTTGCGGTATGGAGCAGTCAACTAGCAGGAGGAGAAAGCAAGGGATGAGGAGGGATGGACAGTAAGGTTTGCTAGGTACTATCCACTAGGACTGGCCTACTGAGCAGAAGAGCAAGGAGGGCGGATTAGTCACATAGGTTGCCAAGGGTGAGTCAAATGTCTGACTGGCTCATGCAACATTCCTACAGATTTGCTAAGGATTGGCTTGGTATGGAAGGCACTCCCTACTTTTCCTCATGTAGAAGAGCAGCCTGTATTTGGCGCCAACCCTCTCCCTATAAAACATAAGCTGTCCCACCCAGCTAATTCTCTTTGCAGCATTTTGCTTCTGCTGCTTATGACTTGCTGTTGGGATAGGAACGGAGAAGACAGATATTCCCACGGCATAATTAATGCTGCTTTGTAGAGCTAACAGAAGCCTCATCTCATTTGCCTCAATATATTTTTGGCCACTCATGCAAACAGTGGGTAAGGTGCATTTCTTTTTCTCTTTCCTGGGGCTCAAATTCCTACTTCCTAACCCCATACCGAATGCAATGTGACCCTAAAGACCACAGAGTTTTTGTGAGTCCCCATGTTGCATGTCCTGGCACCTTTCTTTGGCTGCTTAGCACAGGGCTCCCTAGAAGAGTTCCATGTTTGATATGAGCAACTGAATCAGGGAGCTATGCAGAGGGTGTTGCATTGTCCGGACTCTCCTTTTGTCTTCTCTGCCCCCAAATCATGCTTATGAAGACTGTAAGGAGAATTGAACCACTTCCTAAAGGGTCAACAGGGAAACATCAGTACTGAGGTTTGACAGTGCCTCTGCATGGTAATGCATTTTTTTGTGTAAGGGTAAGCCTGGAACATCTGCATCATCATTGCAACATATTCACTGGCTGTTTACGTATATATACAGCCTGTGAGATTAGTCGAGGGAGGAGATGCGTTATTTCTGCATTATGTATTTTCACTCTCCTTCCTGGGCTGATGAAGTGCAGGATTCAATGGCCATTTCACTCTCATGCAGAAGGCATTCCCACCCCTCAGCAGTGTAAACACTGTGTAGGATTGCTCAGTCATCATGCTGGAAAGAGATTGTGAAACCTATTATCAGGATTGGGCCCAGAAATGCTAGTACAAAAATTAACAATGCAACTATCATTTCCATTCAGAGCAAACTTTAGATTTTCACAAGATGTGACACGTCTACTTAACTCAAAACTAAAGTTACAATTTAGTGAAGAATTAAACTTAGTCTATAAAGAGCTATCTATTTATGTTCTCTCTGATCGCTTATATTACATTTTAAAGCATTTAGGAAAATCCAAGATCAACATAAAGCACAGTTCCAATTCTAAGTGTGCTAACTTAAAATGTTAACCATGAAACTGAACAAAATGAAATGCTTAAAGTTGGGTTGGACAAGATGCCTTGTTAGTATCTGACAACACACATTGGCCTTCTCAGTGGCTACCCCTGATCATGGAATGCTACCACCTCAATGAGGCTAAGCTGCACAGCCCCAGGCTTTTCGGCAGCAATTGTTTTTGTTCCAACAGGCTTCTAATATTTAATATCTAATTTTAACACAGCTAGTAGCCTTATATAGCCACCATAGTAACCTTTTTAATATTAGAAGAGGTAACCCTGTTAGTCTGTGCCTGCAGGCAAAAAAAACAAACAAACCAGAAGAAAAAAAAGAGAAGACAACAATTTAGTAGCACCTTAAAGATTCATTGCTGTATTTCAAAGTGAGCTTTCATGGACAAGTTCTGAGGAAATTGATGTTTTTGCCTTCTTTTATTTTTATTTTATTTTTGCCTGGCATCACTTTAACATGTTTTTAGTGCTTTTAAATCTGTTTTATATGATTTTAATCATTTACATGTTCAACAATTTTGCAGTATGTTTTATATTTTGTTTTAATTATTCTCTCTTTTAGTGATCTTTTAGCTGCCTTGCATCCTGTCAGCAAGAGAAAGTCGGTACAGAAGTGCAGTAAATACAATAAATAATTTTTTAAAATAAATTACTTAAAACCAATAGAAAGCTAGTGGTGCAATGCTAGCGTGAAGGAAATTTCCTCCCCTCTTATTCCTGCAGTTTGTGTGTGGGGTGGTGGCGGAGGGAAGAACAGTTCCGTAGGAGCTCCCAGCCCTCTGAAGCTTTCATTTATTTTCATTTATTCATTTTTTTAAAAAAAACATTGCAGCATATGGAATGCTACATTAATAAGCGAAAATTCTCTCCTCCTGATTATGATAATAGAAACAGTTTGGTAAATAAATGTCCCTCATTGAATTATGTCATTATTACTTCATCGTATACATATTTTCTAGCCTAAGTTACATTATAGATTGTACTTACCTGCATAGTCCCGAGCATTGACTTTAGCACCACCTTTTATCATTGCACATATACTATCTAGGTCATCTTCCATAGCAGCTCTATGCAATAATGTCTGACCAAACATATCTCTTCTGTTGATTCTTGACAGTGAAATGCAGTTACGTGAGGACTCACTGAAATAGATCTTAGAATCCATCTGCTTTTCTAAGAAAATAAAAAAGGGATTCAGCAAACAAAAAACCCTATAGTTTGACTGCTGTTGTTTAAATTCATCCTGTGTTTATTTATGAAGCATTAATAAACGTTGCAGTAGATCATGACTTGTATTACACAATCATATATATATATATATATATACACATACATACATACATACACGCACACACACACACAAACACTGTATATATATACTGTATATATATACTCTGTGTGTGTGTGTGTGTGTGTGTAAAAATGATCAGATGTAACATAAGGGATTCTTTGTTTCTAATGGCATACAAATTGCATACATTTCTACTGACATACAAATGAGCTTAAGAGAAAACATCATGAACACTGTGCCCAATTATAGCAGCAAACTAAACTATACCAGGCATTGGACAGTTAATGACAAAGACTGTGAAGCTGGCAGCCTGATTACTTTTTAATGCATTAAATCATAACGTATGACTGAAAGATGGTAGATTCATTGACAGATTAATGAAAGAACAAAAGGCAGCACAGCAATGCATGTTATTCATATATTTTATGTGTGTCATCCAATGTTCCCTCTAATTTTCACCCCCACTGTGCAGGGCTCTGCCCCCACCATCACACCGCGCCCCCCTGCGCAGGGTTCTGTTGCAACTGGAACCAAAGGGCTGGAAACAATCATGGTGGGTGCGTGGAGGAGGTGGGAGGTAAACGCACAAATCTTAGAGGGAATTTTGGTGCCATCAAATTGATTGCAATTTATGACAATTCTTCTAGGGTTTCCAAGGTATAAAGTACTCAGAAGGGTTCATCAGTCCCTTCTTCTGAGGGCACTCTGGGATCACACAGTTTGCCCAAGGTCACACAGGATGGCACATCTCATGGCAGGCACAGTGTGTCATCAGAATCCAGGTGCTTCAGCTCAGTGAACTATCCAGCTAGCATTCATATATTTACCATTAACATATTCAAATTCTTATTGTATGGGATGCATATCTACTGTACATGCTTTGAGAAACAGAAATTGTCAGAAACTTTAAATTCCCATCAAAAGCTATTTGTTTACAGATACATTTTTGACCCATAATTATTATGACTGCTCTTTTTTGTATTGGTTGCTGGAGCAGAGCTTTATTTGGTAATGGTTAATTCAAATGTTTTATGTGATTGTACATAGATGCATGCTTATTTTCATATCACCATCCTAGTTTCTACATCAAGGATAAAGATGTGATGGGACATAACCTGAATTGACTATTGAGAAAACTACAGTTTAGCTCCGAGGGAAGTACAGTAGGCAATGTAGTTGTTTAGTCGTGTCTGGTTTTTCATGACCCCATGGACCAGAGCATGCCAGGCCCTCCTGTCTTCCACTGCCTCCCGGAGTTGGGTCAAATTCATGTTGGTAGCTTCAATGACACTGTCCAACCATCTCATCCTCTATCATCCCCTTCTCCTCTTGACCTCACACTTTCCCAACATCAGGGTCTTTTCCAGGGAGTCTTCTCTTTTCATGAGATGGACAATGTATTGGAGCCTCATCTTCAGGATTTGTCCTTTCAGTGAGCACTCGGAGTCTCCTCCAGCATCACAATACAGAAGCATAAATTCTTTGGTGGTCAGCCTTCTTTATGGTCCAGCTCTCACTCCCATACATCACTACAGGAAAAACCATAGCTTTGACTATGTGGACCTTTGTCGGCAAGGTGATGTCTCTGCTTTTTAAGATACTGT